CATACTGAAAATGAAAGGATGAAAAAATATATGGAAACCAAAAGAAAGCAAGGTTAGTTACATCAGAAAAAAACAGACTTTAGACAAAGGCTGTAATATGGGGCAAAGAAAATCATTACATAATGATAGAGGTCAATCAAGCAACAGGATATAATACTTGTAAATATTTCTGCATCTAACAGCAGAACACATAAAGAAATAATATGAATATTAATAGATTTGAAGACAGAAACAGACAGCAATATAATAATAGTAGGGAGGGGTGCCTCGGTGGCTCAGTCGGTTAAGTGTCTGACTTCAGCTCAGGCCTTGACTCAGTGGTTCATGGGTTCAAGCCCTGCATCAGGCTCCGTGGTGACAGCTCAGAGCTTGGAGCCTGCTTTGAATTCTGTGTCTCCGTCTCTCTCTGCCCCTCTCTCGCTCATGCTCTGTCTCCATCTCTGTCTCTATCTCTCAAAGATAAATAATCATGAAAAAAAAATTAAAAAATAATAGCAGGGAAATTCAATAGCCCCACTTTCAACAATGAATAGATTATTCAGACAAAAATCAATAAGGAATCATTCAACTTAAATTACATGTTAGACAAGATAGATTTAACAGAGGCCTACAGCACTTTCCACCCAACAGTGGCAGAATACACATTATTCTCAAGTGTGCATGGAATGTTCCCTAGGAAAGATCAAATGTTAGATCAATGCTTCTGAACAAGCAATGTCTCAAAACGAAATCAAAAGAGAAACAAAAATATCTGGAAACAAATGAAAATAGAAATATGACATATAAAAACTTATGGGCTGCAGCAACAGAAGTTCTAGGAGGCAAGTTCATAGTAATAAATGCATGTATTAAGTAAGACATAAGAGAAACCTTAAATAAACAAATTAACTTTAGACTACCTGGAATGAGAAAAAAAAGAACAAAGTAAGCACAAAGCTAGTAGAAAGAAGGAAGTAACAAAGATCAGAGTGCAAATAAATAAAAGAGAGACTAACAAGACAATACAAAAGGTCAATGAAACTAAGAGCTGTTTTTCTTCTTCAAAAGATAAACAAATTACATAAGCCTTTAGCTAGACTTACCAAGAAAAAAGAGAGAGGACCCAAATAAATGAAATTAGAAATGAAAGAGAACACATGACAACTGATACCACAGAAATACAAATAATCATAAAAGACTACTATGAACAAGTATACGCCAACAAATTGGGAAAGCTAGAAGAAAAAATAAATTCCTATAAACACACAACATACTGAGGCTGAATCGTGAAGAAATAGAAATTCTGAACAAATGACTAGTAAAGATCTTGAATCAGTAATCAAACACCTCCCCACAAAGAGAAATCCAGGAGAAGATGACTTCACTCATGCATTCTACTAAACATTTAAATAATTAATGTCAACCTTTCTCAAACTCTTGCCAAAATTATAAGAGAAGGGAAGATTTTCAAACTCATCTTAGGAAGCAGCATTTCTGTGATACTGAAGCCAGGCAAGAAAATTACAAGAAAAGAAATTACAGGCAAATGTCCGTGATGAACACAGATGCAAAAAACCTGAATAAAATAGCAGCAAATCAAATTCAACAATACATTAAAAGGTTCATACACCATGACAAAGTAAAATTCATTCCAGGGATAAAAGGATGGTTCTATATGCACAATCAATGCAGTATATTACATTAATAACAAAAATGATAAAAAAAAACACTTATGATCATCTCACCTGATACAGCAAAAGCACTTGACAGAATTCTTGATAAAAATTCTCAACAACATGAGTATGGAGGGAATGTACCTCAATATAATAAGAGTCATATGGGACAAGCCCACAGCTAATACCATTCTCAGTGGTGAAAAGCTGAAAGCTTTTCCTGTATGATTAGTAACAAGACAAGGATGCCCATTCTTGCCACTTTTTTTCAAAGATTACTGAAAGTCCTAGCCAGAGCAAACAGCCAAGAAAAAGAAATAAGTGGCATACAATTTGGAAAGGAAAAAAATAAAACTGTCTCTATTTGCAGATGGTATTAAATTATGTATAGAAAGTCCTAAAGATTCCACCAAAAACAGAATAAAGGAATTCAGTAAAGTTTGAGGATAAAACTTAATATACAAAAATTAGTTGTTTCTATACACTAACCACATACTATCAGAAAGAAAAATAAAGAAAACAATCCCATTTCTAATGGAATCAAAAGGAATAAAATATCTAGTAATAAATAGAACTCAGGAAGTGAAAGATATGTACACTGAATACTACAAGATATTGATAAACTCAAGATGACACAAATAAATGGAAAGATATTCCATGCTTACGGACTACAAGAATCATATTGTAAAAATGTCCATACTACCCAAGCAATCTTCAGATTCAATGCAATCCCTATCAAAATTCCAATGACATTTTTCAGGGAAACAGAACAAACAATACTAAAATTTGTATGGAACCACAAAAGACCTGGAATAGGCAGAGCAGTCTTCAGAAAGAAGAACAAAGCAGTAGGCATCACACTTCCTGATTTCAAAGCTATCGTAATTACACTTTATAAACTATATTACAAAGCGATAGTAATCAAAACAAGATCATAGTGGCATAAATTTCACAGAGGAGCCAAGAATATTCAATGTGGGAAGGATTGTTTCTTCAATAAATGGTTTCGTGAAAACTAGATATTCATTTGCCAAGGAACAAAGCCAATTCCCTGTCTTAGACCATATACCAAAATCAACTCAAAATAGATTACAGACTGATTGAGCCTAAGATCTGAAACCATAAAACTCCCAGAAGAAAACATAGTGGGTAAGTTCCTTGACATTGGTCAAAGCAATGACTTGTTGGATTTAACATAAAGGCTAAGGCAACAAAAGCAAAAATAAACAAGTAGGACTTTCAACAAACTAGAAAGCACAGGAAAGGAAACCATTAACAAAATAAAAAGGCAACTTACAGAATGCAAGAAAATATTTGCAAATTATGTATTTGATAAGGGGTTAATATCATTTTTTATATATCTGAAGAAATCATACAACTCAACAGCAAAAAAACAACAACAAAAACAAAAACAAAACTAATCCAATTAGAAAATGGACACAGTGGGGCACCTGGGTCAGTTAAGCCTCTGACTTCTGCTCAGGTCATGATTGTGGGTTCAAGCCCCATGTGGGGCTCTGTGCTGACAGCTCAGAGCCTGGAGCCTGCTTTGGATTCTGTGTCTCTCTCTCTGCCCCTCCCTTGCTCTCTCTCTCTCTCAATAATAAATAAACATTACAAAAAAAATTTTTAAGGCAATTCCATTCAGTCATAAATACACACACACACATATACACACACATTCACATATCTGTTACCCTGGAAGGAGTCTTGTCACTCAGTTTTTAATAAAAATATAGATTTAAAACTATGTATATCAGTTATGTAAAATTATATTTATACACATGCCCACACACATGGAAAAAAAGATTCTGAAAAACTATGGCCATGATAATGTTTCCATTTCTAGTAACTTTAACATTATTTTCTCCCTGCTTTTATATACTACTTAAGTTTCCTATGATGAGTATGTATTTTCATTATGAACAAAAAGTTTAAAAAAATAAAAAGCATTTCCTATCTGCCACTACAAAGCATAGGAAGCATTATTTTCACGTCTCAACCTCTTGAACTAGTGTTATTCCTTTAACCAAGAATGTTGTTTTCTTCACATCTATTCTGCCAACGCATCCTTTGATTCGGCTTAATGATTTATTAGTGGCTGTACTAAAATAAATATCTCCAAAGTTCTGCTTTCCTAGAATTCGGCCACGAGCCTCAAAAACCAAAGGTAAACCAATTCATTACTAACGTAAACTTTTCTGAAAGAACCGATGGTAACACCTCCTCAAAATACTTCAAGTGTCTGGGTGTTCCGCATATGGCTGTGTCTCTGTTTGCGATGAAGTATGAGGTTGGTGTTGGTACACCATCTCTCTATGTGCAAACAACCGAAAACCACTATATTTGCTGTAATTTGTGTACCTCTCGTTCACTGCTGATTCCAAGTAATGATCGAGGAAAAATTTGGCAGCTACGTGATGAAGATGTATTTGTGCTTAACAACGTCGGGGTTATTAGACAACTGCTGGTAAGATTTGACTATTCTCTGTTCTTTGAATCGAGGCCACTGTCTTCAGAGCAGAGCAGCCAAGCACAAGTGGTGGAAACCCATAAATCTTCACGCACATCCACAAATTTTGGTGTCTTTTTCCCTGGACTGAGCTACCCTTGCTCCCTTGCCCAGTTTTTAAATACACATATTTGTGATTATTAAATAATTTTTTTAATTGGAAAGAAAAAATCTATTTCTTCCCAGAGTCCCCTGAAATTTGGGACATGTTTTGGAAGTCTTTAGGTTTCCTCCTGCTGAGTTAGTCTTTACGTAAAATATTTTCCTCACTGACAGCAGGAACAAGATGAAAAAAAAGAAGAAAAAAGATGAAACACTGGGACATTTCCAAAATTAAGGGGAATTCTACTTTATATGGAAGATTTCTAACAAATATAACTGGAAGCTGGAACCAGAATTATACACAGGGAATTTGGACTCAAACATTGATTTAACAGCCCTCAACAGTTGTTGATTCTTGTTCAACTTTGTATCTATGATTCAGTATTTTCCAGCCAGCAAATATTTATGTGTACTCTCTCCTGAATTACATACTTATTGAACTGTTTTTTTATCATAGCACTGGGAGACGGTGTGAGCTGAATATATACAAAGTTTCAAAAATTATATTATCTCTCAGAGAAATAAACAGATGATGAATAAAGACCTTTTTTGGACCAAAGACCAAGGAATACAGACCACTGATGTAGACTCTTATCAGTGTACTGATGTTAGTTAGCAAACACACAAAGATCCCAAGTCACCTTTGGTATATAAGATATGCCATCAGTATATGTTATATGACCATATAACACATAACATGGAGAGAGTTGTTTTTTATGTGGCCATTTACTCACCCCAAATTCCCATGAATATTGCAAAGAACACTGTGGACTCGTTATCAAACAAATGTGAGATCTGCAAAAACAATAACATCACAAAGACTATTTAGTATCAAACGCAATACAAAAAGAGAAATCCCAAGTCTTTTCCCATACCACAATACATACATACCTTTGAAGCCAAACACGTAGTATTTAGTCTCCAATAATCACACACTAGATCACAGAGCGGGCACATGATAATCTGCCCTCCAATCTTAGGGTCACAGATTTCAGTGCTGCAGAGGGGACAGCAAAGTGATTTTAAAAGTGATGTGCTTTTAGGTGACAGAACAACAGTTTACACAGCTTCTCAAATATGGCAGAAGGGACAATAAAGCAGCAATCTCTGTAGTAGGTCAAGTCATGCTTTGAGAAACAGAATCTTTAGAGCTGATCATTTATAGATTTTTCCCTGTAAAGCACTAGGTGAGGGCAGCCATTACATTTGGGTTTTTATCAGAAGTATCAATTATCTGCTGCCACCAGGAGACACTCTGAAACAAATGCCAGGGAAATAATAAGAGCAGTTGTTTCAGTTAGTATGACATCAAGATGTTTTCTCTGTTTGGGCAATTCAGTTGCACGTACCTGCTTGAGTTAGTATCCATTGATAATAAGCCGTAAATGAAACAAGCTAAGCCAACGACAGCCGCAAAGGACAGCATTTCCGTGTAAAATCCAAGAAAGACAAAATACATGCCAATCTTTTCTCCATAATAATCCCTATGAAAGAAGGTAAAAGATAGTATCAAAGTTTAAGAGAAAGATACAATCCAGAGACCCTTGGTTTTGTATTCAGAAGAGACATGTATTCCTGGCTCCACTGCTTTCTAGCCCTGTCATTTTGGTAGAGTTACTAAACTTTCTGAACTCTGGTTTCCACGTCCTAAAATATAAGACGATGCTTATCCAAAGAAGTGGTGCAAGGACCAAAAGAGCTAACACATATAAATAGGAAGCCAACTGAATGTAAGTTAACTTTTAATTTTGAAATAATAAGTATAAATTTGAAAAGCTTCCAATGTTTCAGGAGACTTTAATGTACTAAAATGTAGAACATTCTGCGATGTAACTTCTAGCAATTAACAAATCAAAATCACATTCCTAATCTGCATGGAGTTTCGCTTTATTTCTCTTTCTAATATAGAAGAAGGTACTCTCACCACATTCATCAAGAGTGGTTATATGTATAAAGTTGCATCTCCCTCCCATTTTGGATCTCTGATAGATGTTTATAGAATTGTGATAGAGGTAGCAAACTAAGGAATTAAAAAGGGCTGCTTAAGAAAAATTCCATAAAGGGGAGCCTGGGTGGTTCAGTCGGTTAAGCATCCGACTTTGAGGTCATGATCTCTCAATTCATCAGGTAAAGCCCTGGGTCGGGCTCTGCGCTGAGAGCCTACTTTGGATTCTGTGTCTCCCTCTCTTTCTTTCTCAAAAATAAATAAACATTTAAAAAAAGGTCCATAAAATATGCAATTCAGCTCTTGCTTTACAAAGAGTTGAAAAATTATAGCATTACTTGTCACAAATGTTCAAGTCTTAAAACCAAGTTTTGTTTTGTTTGTTTTAATTTTAACTTTGCATTTTTTCCTTCCAAGATTTTACTTAAATTCAAGCTAGTTAAGATATGGTGGAATATTGGTTTCAGGAGTAGAATCCAGTGATGAATCACTTACAGATGATACTCAGTCCCTATCCCACCAAGTGCCCTTCTTAATGTCCATCATCCACTTAGTCCATCCCTCAACCACCTCCCCTCCAGCAGCCCTGTTTGTTGTCTACATTCAAGAGTCTCTGATGGTTTGCCTCCCTCTCAGTTTTTATCTTACTTTCCCTTCTCTTCCCCTATGTTCATCTGTTGTGTTTCCTAAAGAGTACATGAGTGAAATCATATGATATTTATCTTTCTCTGACTGACTTATTTTAAAGTCCCCCTTACAGGAATCTCTTAAGGAAGCAAAGAAGATAGTTTTCTCTGTCTCAGAAAATCACATTAAAAACAAAACAAAACAAAACTGGAGGGCCTGAGTGGCTCAGTTGGTTACGCGTCCAACTTTGGTTCAGGTCATGACCTCACAGTCCGTGAGTTCAAGCCCTACATCAGGCTCGGTGCTGACAGCTCAGAGCCTGGAGCCTGCTTCGGATTCTGTGTCTCCCTCTCTCTCTGCCCCTCCCCTGCTCATGCTATGCCTCTCTCTCTGTCTCTCAAAAATGAATAAATGTTAAAAAAAAAAACAGATTAATCTTCGTAATTCATATAGAGCTCAGGTTACTAAATCTGTGAAGCCTTTCCAGTTTCCAAGGTAGATAGATATGATCCTTTTGGCTTCTAATAGCATGCTGTATATAAATCTATTACATCACTTAATATTAAATTACAACTTCCATGCATGCTCAGAAAAAAGGCAACTTGGAACATAAAGGTACAAACTTAATTTCCTAATATTTAAATATTTTCTCATATTTAATACTAATTTTATTGAACCTCATATTCTTCAGTTTTCAAAATTCCTAATCTCTTCTAATTAAATTGGCATCTTTATGCTTATACCATTTTTCATTATTTCACTGATTATAAACATTTTGTACTGTTGTTTTCTCTTGTTCTGCTCCTCAAATCACTACAAACTTGAAGTTAAATTATAATCCCATCTTCTTCCCTTGTTAATTTGCCACTCACAACTTCCTTAGCTTCACTTACACTTAGGATACATGAACTCGTTTTTTCTTTTTTCTTTTTGTTTGCTGAAAAATATAGCAATTACTGCAATACTGCATAACATCAAACTCTTTTAATAAAGGATAAAAATATTTGATTTTGTGGAATTTACTATTTACCATATCTATTTCCACTTGATGTTTTAAAAATTACAAAACCAACATTTTTTTTGAAGTTAAGACATCAATATTACTGCTACAGATTTAACCTAAAATTGTTTGGGAATTCATAAAGAAACTAGTTCAACAACCTATTTTTTTTTTTAATTTTTTGTTTTTAAAGTTTATTTATTTTTGAGACAGAGAGAGACAGAGCATGAACAGGGGAGGGGCAGAGAGAGAGGGAGACACAGAATCGAAGCAGCCTCCAGACTCTGAGCCATCAGCCCAGAGCCCTATGCGGGGCTTGAACTCACGGACCACGAGATCGTGACCTGAGCTGAAGTCGGAGCTTAACCGACTGAGCCACCCAGGCGCCCCACAACAACCTATTTTTAAAGAACTACATTTTTCTTACTTTCAAATATCAAGAATCTTATTCCTTGAGAATGAAAAAAAAAGGCTTCAAGAACTCTAGACCTTTATTTGTATTAAAAAATTCTTTAAAATTTATAGAAATTTTCAGATGAGGATTTATAACATATGGAGTCATAGAAATTATTTTACTAAACCATGGATTTGGGAAGCTTAACAATCAGATTAACAACTAAACCATCTCCTAAGAGTGTAAAAAAGCAAAAGACATATCTTAGATGTATATTATGGTAAAAATGTACACAGTATTGAAGTAACATTTAAGGGGCGCCTGGGTGGCTCAGTCGGTTAAGCGTCCGACTTCAGCTCAGGTCATGACCTCACAGTCTGTGAGCTTGAGCCCCGCATCGGGCTCTGCGCTGACAGCTCAGAGCCTGGAGCCTGTTTCCGATTCTGTGTCTCCCTCTCTCTCCGTCCCTCCCCTGCTCACACTCTGTCTCTGTCTCTCTCTCTCAAAAATAAATAAACATTAAAAAAAAATTTGAAATAACATTTAAGATGTTAAATTATCTCACTATTCATAACAATTAAGTGAGAGAAATCTAATAACATGAGACACTCTATAAAGACTCAAATATAAAGGGAACTCTTTTTTTAAGTACTTATTTTTAGAAAAATGTGCCTTATATTCACACTTAGGGCATTTCTTAACCTGTTTTACTTACTAGACTTTGAACACATCTGTGGCCCCATATCATCTAAATAGCACATGACAGGTAGAAGACATTCATTGTGAGATTTTGTGAGAAAGCATTGGTCTAATATTGGATTCCCAAGACTTAGTCTGAGACACAGCAAATAATCAAAAGAATGATGATAAAATTTAACTGAATATAGGCTTGAGGAATGAACAAACAAATGCAAACATTTGATCTAAAGTGATTCATTAAAAAAAAATAAAAATACAGTGATTCATTTTTATAGTGAGTTAATGAACATCTGAGACACTTAGCTGTTACATTTAATAGCATTTTAATAGCACCATTGTATTTACTGTAAATATACTTATATTCTAAGCTATTTACTACATAGCTACATATCAAGTATTAAGCCACTCAAAACAGGGGTTATCGAAAGAAAAAATATAGAGAGCTCTTAAATTGGCAAGATAAAATAGGATTGGAGGGCATATAAAAATAAAGACTGGGGGTGCCTCGGTGGCTCTAGTCAGTAAAGCATACAACCTCAGCTCAGGTCATGATCTCATGGTTTGTGAGTTCAACCCCACATCAGGCTCTGTGCTGACAGCTCAGAGCCTGGAGCCTGCTTTGGATCCTGTGTCTCTCCCTCTCTCTGCCCCTCCCATGCTCATGTTCTGTCTCTGTCTCTCAATAACAAATAAATGTTACCAAAAAATTAAAATTGAAGACTGATAATCCAATGATAGCAACCTTGGTATTCCCATTGTTTTCTTTGAAAATATAATCTAATATGACAAAATGGTAAGTCCCCAAAAGACAGCAAAACTATTTACAAATCTTTCAATATGGAACTTAAGTTTCGTGTAGAGGTAACACGGAATATGTGAAATCCAGAAAATCGGACTCCTAAATTCTAAATCTCTCCCTAGAGGCACCTGGGTGGCTCAGTTGGTTAAGTGTCTGACTCTTGATTTCAGCTCAGGTCATGATCAAGCCTTGCTTTGGGCTCTTCACGGACAGCATGGAGCCTGCTACCCTGCTTGGGATTTTCTCTCTCGCTCTCTCTCTCTCTCTCTCTCCCCCTCCCTCCTTCCTTCTCTTCCCCTCCCCCACTTAAGTGCATGTGCAAGCACTCTCTCAAACTTTTAAATAAATAAATAAATAAATAAATAAATAAACAAACAAACAAACAAACAAACAGACAATCTCTTTCTAGCCATCCGAAGTCATTATGTCTTTTTTTTCTAATCTTCCACACCCAGCCATCTACAAAGTGCAATAAATTTTGCCACAAAAATCTTTTGTTAATCCATAGTCTCCCCTATTTTCTATTAGCAATACCTTGGATATGATTGTCAGTACCTGTCACTGAAAATTTGTAATAGCCTCCTTACTTCCCTGACTTCAGTCTTGAATCCCTCTCAACTGTCTCCTTATTTCCAATGTAGTGATGGTCTTAAAGCAAAAAACTGAACCTGCCCTCTTCCTCCTTCAATGGTTTTATCCCTTCTTTTAGCAGTGTCCTGCATGACGTTGCTGATAAACATTCAGTTTCACCTGCTTCTACTCCTACACGAAGAACTAAATGTGCAATGTTCTTTCTTAGCCCAGCACTCTGTACTTCTCTCTGTCTGAGACATTCTTACCCCCACTTGCTTACTTAGCAACTTGCTACTTACCTTTCAAGAGGCAGCTCAAGAATCAGTGCTGTGAAATTTTCCCTGAGCTTGTCATAAAAGTGGGTGCTTTTTCCTCTATGCTGTTCTTCCATGAGTATCATTCTGTTATAATTATACGTTTCTGTGTCTTCCTGGGAATATATTCATA